ACGCGGCTCCCTCGTCGTCTTCGCCGCCTTACGCGGCTCCCTCGTCGTCTTCGCCGCCTGACGCGGCTCCCTAGTCGTCTACGCTGCCTGACGCGGCCTCCTCGTCGTCATCACCGCCTGACGCGGCCTCCAAGTCGTCATCGCCGCCTGCCGCGGCCTCCAAGTCGTCATCGCCGCCTGCCGCGGCCTCCAAGTCGTCATCGCCGCCTGCCGCGGCCTCCAAGGTCCTACGTGTTGGACGGCCTCCCGGAACGTGGGTCCCGTGTTGGACGGCCTCCCGGCCGCCCCCCTGAACGTGGGTCCCGTGTTGGACGGCCGCCCCCCTGAACATGGGTCCCGTGTTGGACGGCCTCCCGGCCGCCCCCCTGAACGTGGGTCCCGTGGTGGATGGCCTCCCGGCTGCCCCCCTGAACGTGGGTCCCGTGTTGGACGGCCTCCCGGCCGCCCTCCTGAACGTGGGTCCCGTGATGGACGGCCTCCCGGCCGCCCTCCTGAACAATGACTCTAGGGACGGTCTCTTGACCGTTCAGATCTTTTGTGTTTTTCCTGCTTATATTTTGCCTTAGTTCTTTCAGGTCCTTGTGTTCTTCCTTGCGTTTCCTCTGGACCTCCACCCTTGCAGTGCCGCCCTCCACCCGCCCAAGTCCTTCGGGAGGGGGGGTTTTTGGGGACACCTGGAGGCGTCCTTGAGGGGGGGTACTGTAAGGATGGTACCATTTGCTGATTCTGTTTGTGTCTGTGTTTCCCTAGTGTTTCCTCTTCAGTTTAATTGGTGCCACCCTTGTCTTGTCACAGCTGTTTGTAATCACGTCTCGTCTTGTCCCTGTATTTAAGCCATCTGTTCTGTTTTGTTCCTCGTCGGGTCGTATTTGTTGGGTCTCTGTGTTCTCCTGCGTTCTCCTGAGTCTCCCCTGAGCTTCCTGAGTCCTTCCTGAGTTTCCCTCTGAGCCTACCGTTTTCATGTAAGTTTTGCTGCCACGTCAGCTGTTTATTTTTGTTCTTTATTCACTATTAAAATACTTTTTTTTGTAATCTGCCGAGTTGAGTCCTGTCTGCACAACTGGGTTCGTCCCTGACTACCAAATCCTGACAACTACTTCCTGCAACAGATAAGAAGCGGGTAAAGATAATGGATCCACTTGAAGATGTTTAAAGTATGGCTGGCACAGCTGGGTGGCTGGGAGTGCTGTACATTATTTGCAATCCAAGTGGGCATTTCCCAGTAGCTCTAATGTCACGTGAAAAATATGATTAAAGCTTGAAACTCAACACTCCAGAGTTTGGATTGAGAAAGTTCCTTAGATGGGAAATAAAACATCTTCACCTACCGAATAGCAGTCCAGTTGTTTTTTTGTTTTTTTGGAAGGATATGGGCAGCAGTGGCACAGATAGCAGAGTTGCCGCCTCCCAGCGAAAAGGTTGCTGGATCTAATTCTGTCGGGAGGCCTTTCTGGGTGGAGTTTGCATGTTCTCTCCGTGCTGCATGGGTTTTCTCCAGGTACTCTGATTTTCTCCCACAGACCAAAATCATGCATGTTAGACTGATTAGTAAATTGTCCCTTGGTGTGAATGTGAATAGTTGTTTGTCTCTATGTGTCCCTGTGATGGACTGGAGACCTGTCTAGGGTGTCCCCTGCCTGCTGGACATAAGCACCAAAAAACCCCGCAACCCAGAAAAGAAAAAGCAAGCAAAGATAATGGATGAATTATTTTATTTCAGATATGTAGTATATCATCTAATTGTATTACCACCCAACTCTGCTAAAAACTTCAAAAGGTTTCAATCTACTGAACACGACTCATTCTGCACTCATTTCCAAAATTAATTCTAACATTTTTGCGTCTGACAGATCCCAACATGCTCAGCTTGTATCTGGTTTTCACAATGTGTGTGTGTGTGTGTGTGTGTGTGTGTGTGTGTGTGTGCGTGCGTACGAGCGTGCGTGTAAAACTTACTGTAGGACGGCCTGTGCCACAAACATGTCTACCTCACTGCAGTAACCTCGAGACGACGAATACTCCACCAGCATCTGAGCACAGCCCTCTCCATCAGATGAATGTAGGAAATGGTAACGAGACTCACTGTAGTTTTGCTCTGAAACACACACACACACACACACACACACACATCACACTAATGTTACCGCCCACATACAAAATATTTTGTGGCTTTACATGTTGTTCCTGTTTGTACACCAGTAAATTCATACATTTTTCTGAAGCTTATCAAAACTGAAGTGTTTCCTCATAATGATACGACCAGGGGCTGGTTAAAACAAGGACAATGCTACTTTTTGTTTATTTGGTGGAGTTGTAGTGAAATCTAATAAGATTTTGATTAAAGTTTTTTTAAGTTGCTGTACTATGATATTAGACAGGTTTCTGTCTACTACATTTTATACTAAATAAATGTTTGAGAAAACGTTTAGAGCAGAAACCTGGGCTAATGTTTGCTTGATTATTTATCACTGCTCCTGAGTGTCAGGTTGTGTTCTCCCATTGACATCTGATCACATGCAGCTTCAGTTTTCCCCTTTATCTTTCCTGTTTTAAACCATAATAGTTTGGTCCAGTGAAATAGGAATTTCATTGTGTACATAAATGTTACCAGTTAAATGAATAACATTTACAGCTTTTATTTAAGACAATATATATGTTTGATATGAAAAGTGTAAAAGTAAAGACCATGTTTCAATCTAACAGTCTGTTATTCCATTTTAAATTGTTGTATTGGATTTATAAACTGCCTGGCCAAAAAAAAAGTTGCCACCTGGATTTAACTAAGCAAATAGTTGAGCCAACTGTTGGATAATTACTGCATGGGTGATTATCTTTCAGCGACAACAAGTTATTTAACCCCAACTGGTGTAATGAGTTGCTTCTCATTTCTTAAACAACCATGTCAAAGAAAAAGATGTCAGTTTGTTTGAGAATGGTCAAATCATTGGCATGAAGCAGAGAAAACATCTAAGGAGATTGAAGAAACTACTAAAATTGGGTTAAGAACTGTCCAACACATTATTAAAAACTGGAAGGATAGTGGGGACCCATCGACTTCGAGGAAGAAATGTGGCCGGAAAGAAATCCTGAATGATCGTGATCGGTGATCACTTAAACGTTTGGTGAAATCAAAATGGAAGAAAAACAACAGTAGCGCTCAAGGCTATGTTTAATAGTGAAAGTTAGAGCATTTCCACACGAACAATGTGAAGGAAATCAAGGGATTGGGACTGAACAGCTCTGTAGCCTTAAGAAAACCACTAATCAGTGAAGCTAACCAGAAACAAAGGCTTCAATTTGATAGGGAGCATAAAGATTGGACTCTGGAGCAATGGAAGAAGGGCATGTGGTCTAATGAGTCCAGATTGATCCTGTTCCAGAGTGATGGGTGCATCAGGGTAAGAAGAGAGGCAGGTGAAGTGATGCACCCATCATGCCTAGGGCCTAGTCATCAATGTAAGATCTCGGTGAAAAATGAATGCAACACTGGATGAAAGAGATTTTGTGATGGCGCAGAAGTTTATCAAAACAATGACACAGTGATGTAATCAAAGCTAAATCAGAATCAGAATCAGTTTATTATCGCCATGTCAATGAACGAGGTTCACAAACTAGGAATTTGCTTCGACATAAGGTGCGAATAGTAATAAAGTAAAATAAAGTAAAAATAAAGTAAAAATTAAGTAAAAATGAGAACATTACATAAGACATAAGACCTGTGTACACCCACAAATAAAGTAAAATTAAAAACATAACATAACCATATGTACACCCATACAATAGAAAACAATAAAAAAGCTTAGAGAACAGTACAGATGGAGTATTCAATTATAATACAGATGTAATGTGACCAAAGCAGAAGTTATGAGGTAGCATTATGAGTGTTCAGGAGTCCAACAGCAGAGGGGAAGAAACTGTTCTTATGGCGGGAGGTTCTGGTCCGAATGGACCGAAGCCTCCTGCCTGAGGGGAGTGGTTCAAACAGTCTGTGTGCAGGGTGAGCAGGGTCAGCTGTGATCCGACCTGCTCAAAAGACAGTCTAAAGACAGTCAAACCAAATATTAGTGTGCAACCTATTTTTTGGTGGTGAATTTTTTTGGCCAGGCAGTATAACTTGTATTTATGGATTTATTTATTTCCTCTTTCTTACAGGTGTAGTGGACTAGGCCTGATGTCAAAACTGACCATATGGGACTGAAACTGTCATTTCATTGATTTGAATCCAGAAATACAGGTTAACCCATCCTGAGACTTTCTTTCTTGAATTAATCAAGTGGAAAAAGACAATTCTCTATGATCATTACTATTTTACAAATGTTTTGATAATCAAATTGTGTTAGTTCAAACAATGTTTACATGTTGAAGTGAACTATTCATTTTTATTTACTTAAAACAGTGTAATGATTTTTTAATCCTCAATTCAAAGTGAAATCAAGTTAGAGTACGTTACAGAGTAATGATTCAATTTCTTGATCGTCTGCTTTGAAGTGAGCAGAGTTGTAAGTGTGTCAAAGTTCAGGTTTCGGTCAACTGAAAGTTTACTGAAAAGAAATGTCATGTTTAACTTTTACAGCAAGATACTTGGTGGAGCGACGCCACTAAGTCTGGTTTTCTCCAACAATCTTTCTGTCTGTTCTTAAACAATCCTAATCTCTTTCCTTGACTTTCCATAACACCTTACATCACTAAACACACCTCTGTTGAGGTCCATCGACCAATCAGAGGCTCTCAAACGAACCGGAAGTAGAGCCCATTAAAATGTCGGCACTTCCTAGTTCAAGAGAGTTTGGGAGTTCAGCTCAGTCTTGAAGCTGCAGTAAGCTCAGTCTTGAAGCTGCAGTAAGCTCAGTCTTGAAGATGGAGTAGCAGTTCTGAAACTCAGCAGTTTCAGAGAGAGTTTTTGGAATTCAGATGCAGAGAGGTTTGGAAGTTCCAGAATGCAGAACGCTGGCATTCAGGATGCTGCTGAATTAGAATCAAGCTGAACCAGAGACGATTTTGGGAATTATAACTTCTGTTTGGATAACCTCACACGACTCTCGAGGTTCGAGCTGTCCTCACGGAGACGCTGAAAGAGTTGAAAGGAGAGCTCTACACCGATGCTGAAGCTATCATCTGTAAGGTAAAAGTTCTATTTCGACCAAGCGTACCGTTGGCCCAAGCTGGAAAAGAAGGAGCGTGTCAGTTCTGGTTAAAACAGACAAATTCCCTCACACATCTCTCTGTAGACAAACTTCACTTTCCATCTTCAAACTCTCCTATCTGCTAGCAAATTAATCCAGATGTTTTCAGAAATGTCTGTGGTGAAGCAACGGAAAATCATGGCCATATGGTTTTCCTGGTTGTAAAGCTGATTGATTATGTTGTTATTTTCATATTCTGCCAAATTAATGTAAACGTTTGATGTTAAACTTTGATTCTGTAAATAAATGACCACATTCATTTTGATGGGTCAAAGATAAATAACGTCTCACGTCCACATTTTATTTAAATTCAATGCACGTATGTTATACAGTCCAGGAAAATGAAGAACCCGTTTAATGTCTGAATATATCTCAGGATATGTCATACTACACAGGCAAAGCCACGACTAAATTCCTGCAAAAGAAATTTCTCACCACAGTTTGCTGCATTTTTTACCATCCAATAATAACCTTAAAAAAAAACTGAATAATCAAGTATTTATTTTTTTCTTGTTTTTTTTTCAAATATGATAACAATAGGAGCGTCATTTTACTCATTTTGTCAAGCTAAAGGTGGGACTTAAAACCTATACTGTAAATCTGGAAAGTATTTACAGCACTTCACTTTTTCCACATTTCATGTTACAGCCTTATTCCTAATTGTATTAAATTAATCTCCTTCCTGAATATTCTACACACAATACCTCATTATGACAATGTGAAAAAAGATTTTATGAGATTTTTGCCAATTTATTAGAAATAGAAAACTAAGAAATCACATTTACAGAAGCATTCACAGTCTTTGCCATGAAGCTCTAAATTGAGCTCAGATGCTGTTTCCACTGATCGTCTTGAAATGTTTCTACATCTTTAATGGAGTACAGCTGTGGTAACTTGAGTTGACTGGACTTGATTTGGAAAGACACACATCTGTCTAGATTGTCCTACGTGACGGTGCATGTAAAAGAGAGCAAACACCAACACTGTACCAACTCATATATTACATAGAGTGAAATACTTCAAGCCTTTATTTCTTGTAAATTTGGTGATTCAGGCAGGAGGTTAAGGAGCATTAAGTGTAGAACCACTAGACTGAGGAACAGCTTCTACCCTGAGGCTGTTAAGACTCATGAATCTCTAAACAAGATAATCACTGTGAAAAAAAAACTTGTAATGACACTTTGATTGTTGATATGTGCTGCTGATTATCCATGCTGCCGATTATTTCATGCTGCTGTATTCATTCGTATTCATCTGCTCACAAAGACTCATGCTTGTGCTGCTGTTTGATGCGCCGTATTGTTTTACATTATTAGTGTTTAGCGTATATCTTAGATCTTTTAGCGTACTGTTAGGCGTTCGTTTAGTGTATTGCTTAGTTTATATTTTAGATCCTTATTTACTGTTTCTTTTTACACTTTATATTTTTGCTATTGTTGGATGTAACTGGGACCCTGTATGCACAATTTCATTCCACTTCATGTACCACATGTGATGAAATGACAATAAAATTGACTTGAAGTTGATTATGGTTTACAAATAATGAAAAACTAAAATTCACTGTCTAAGAAAATTAGAATATCATGAAGAGGTTCAGTATTGTAATCTCCTGGTGTCACACCCTGATCAGCTGATTAACTCTAGACATGAGCTACAAATGTCTCATTCCTCAAGTTGAGCCACTCCTGAACCACAGACAACGTCAGCATCTTACCTGCTGAGGAGGAAAATAACTGGACTGTTGCTCTGTGGTCCAACATTCTCTTTTCAGATTAAAGTAAATGTCATTTGTAAATCAAGGTCTCAGAGTCTGGAGGAGAGAATCCATGTAGCTTGAAGTCCAGAGTCAGTGATGGTTTGGGTCCATGTCCTCTGCTGGTGCTGGTCCACTGGATTTTCTGAAGTCCTCAGCCCAAGTAAGACTCTTCTGACATTGTCTCTGGTTCAGGAGTGGCTTGAATTGAGGAATGTCACATTTGTAGCTCATGTCTAGGGTTCGTCTGTATAGTGGGCATGAGTTTCCAATATGGAACTTTATCACAATATTCTACAATTTTCTGAGACACTGAGCTTTTGGTTTTCATTATCTGTAAGCCATTATCATCAAAATTACAAGAAATAAAGGCTTGAAATATTTCACTCCATGGGTAATGAATCTATGTAATGTACGAGTTTCACTTTCTGAAGTGACTGACCAAACTTATTGAACTTTTTCAAGACATTAAATTTTTTTTTTTTAGATGTACCTGGATTTACACTGTCAACAACAATTAAAAAAACACCTGAGAACCAAAACAAGTGCAGGTGTTTCCCAGCAATATCTAGTCTTTTTATTTGGGAGGCCACTAGTGATTACATAACTGTATAAGTGACTTCTTGTTCACTGATGACATTTTTTAATGGGACTTTTCTTGTGGTAATCACCAAGTTTGTTTTTTTAAATCTCAAGTGACTTCTAGTGTCACTGGATTGAAATGATGGGACGTGTCTTTCAGTTTTTAAACATCTCTCATCTTCTCCTATTGACTGTAATTTCACAGTAAAGCACCTTGTAATCCTTTGGTTTGTATAGCAGCAGTTTTGATCAGTGTTATCTTCTGTTTCTAACTGTTTTTTTAGCTTGAAATGTTAACTTTATTTTCCTTTTACGTGTTATATATTTTGCTAAAAGAAAAAAATGTGTCCTTGTTCTTTACTCTTTCTTGGTCGATGTCTAATAACCTTGTAAGTGCAGAGTTTTTAGTGTGTAACATGAAATGGAGGGGATGTTGTAACTTGTGAACATTTATTAGTATTTTACTCAGATAAAAATTAAAAACAACAATTAGATCATTACCTTTCCATAAGATGACAGCCAGCAACTGGTGAAGTTTTGGGTGGCCTAACTTGCCAGATCCTCCAGTGGACCATTTCAAAGCTCTGGATACAAAAGCCACTCTCTCTGGAGAGTTCTGGTCCATCAAGCTGAAGAGCTTGGCCAGACTTTCTGTTCCAACACAAAACAAAACCACAAAACACATCTGCAAAGGTATCTGAATGAAATGTCCTGATGTAAAGCCATTTTGAAAGTTTTTACAATCTTTTCAAACACAACATTCGCAGTTTGGTACATCTCATCTATGGGAATCTTTATAAGGAAAAGATAAAAAATGTAGCTTGCAACCCACCTAATATTTCATCCTCAACTTTAGTATCAGACTTTTCCAAAACCTCCAACACCAGCATGGAAAGATCTGCTGCACTGTTTTGCTAAAAAAAAAATAAAAAAAAAGTGAAACACAATCAATTTTATTTTTTACGTCTGCATTTTCACAGATGTTGCTTTATGAGTAAACATAATTTGTATGCATTTGAGAAATATGTTTCAGGCTACTCATGCAAACATGTATGCAACAAGAGAACAGCTGTAAACCCTCTTAACTGTTAATCATTTCTATTTTTACATGAACTGTTTACATTTTATAGCACATTATGCGTTTTAACACACAAACTTGAGTCAAACCTATTTTCTAGCATAATCTTAGAGGTTTTATTTTACTATTTTTTTATTTGTTACCAAAAACCTGCTGTGTACCTGGTTATAGCTGAAAAAGAGCACAGCACCATTGTACATCAGTTCCCTGGCCTCAGCATGTTTTCCCTGTGACATATACCTGTTGGGAGACAGGAGTATTATCATTGCACATATCTGAAAATCATCTCTGCTCCTTGATGTGAGCTTCAAACACTAATATTTTCTGTGGAAGACCATATAACATTTAGAGAACTATGACTAATGTGATCTGAAGAGGCTATTACTGGCATAATGACATTAAAGTGATAGGACAAAAAAAGGAAGGAGGGTCAGACAAGAGGAGCGCAAATTACATAAGAAACATGATTTTAAAACAGTATTCTGAACAAAATCCTAAGAGAAGTAGACTCTTGAAGACAGAGGTAATAACCAACACTGGGTAGTGAAACAAGGAGGTAAAAAAAGTGCATAGCTAGTTGTGTTCGGGGTAAATAACTACATCTGACTAGATATATGTGACTAATGGCTACCAAACAAGGAAAAGCTGTACGTCAGATAAAACAAACTCATCAGAAGTATGACAAGCCAGTGTTATGATTAAGTCTGACGGTACAGCAGAATCTGGGTACCAAGCTAATTCATGCTAACACAGCTTACCAGCGTCAGCAAAAACACATAAATGGTACCATCTTAACCATACTAAAACAGTCAGCCGCCATACTTAGCTTATTTATAGAGTATATTCTCTACAAAACCACAAAAACAGCAGTATCACGGTCTTATCTTGATAGCTTAGCTAAAACAACTTTGCTAACATCAGCTTCCTGTTGTAGCCAATAGCCGTGGTTCTTTTAAAGACGGACATGATGGCTGCCCAACCAAACACATGAACTAACAAAAAAGGGCGGATCCGCAGTAAAATCTGACCAATCACATACAAGGAGCAACCATCGAAGAATTGACAGCAGAATGATCTGGAACAGGTAGGCCTGGAACTACTAAATGGTCCGGACACGAACAGATAGCAAAGTCTCACCTAAAAAATAAAGTTCTATACATTTGATGAGCTTCATAGTAATCTCCTTTTTCTACGCTGGCTCGTAGTTTTCCTTCGACCCTCTGGACACCTCCACGGTTTCTGACACTGGAGCACCTCAGGGACTCCGGCTCCGCCATGGTTGTTCCTACACAGCAACGAGTGTTGACTGAACAGCCAACGCCAAAGAGACGTTCACTGACCTGACCCTCGTCGGCTGCCGTAGTCTGTGTACAATTTTTTTTTCTTTTTTTTTCTTTTTTTTATTAATAACACACAGAACTACAAAACACTACAAAAGAGAAAAATATATACAAACACTCGTGAAGGGTGTCAGAACTACAGTTTACAAGCTAGGGGGGTTACAAAATGATAAAAATTGAGTAATACATATATAAAAAACATTAAATGAAAAGAATAAACATAAGAAACAAAAAGGAGCAAAACAATATGAGAAACTTAAAACAACAAGTTTTTTTATATCTGTTGTGAAATGGTTCTAGCAGTTTTCCAGTTTTTTAATCTACTTATTGAAGAATAGTACAACTTGAATTTGTTCATAAAACACGGGAAGGAGGGCTGATTGTCCCTCCACTTACTACAATGAATGTGGTACTTTGCTATAAGGATGACTATATTTATAGCATCAGAGCAAGCTGAGCTTAAATTATCCATATAAAATAAAATGGCATCAGCATCAAAGGGAGGAATGTTAAGTTTTAGATTAATCCAGTTTGTAATGTCAGTCCAGAAACTTTGTGAGTATTGACATGAAAAAAACAAATGTTCAAGAGATTCATCTTCAGATTTACAAAAGACACACAAATCCACCTCAAATTTAAATCTTCTGTGCAGAAGCATGGCTACTGGATAGATCTTATTTATTATTTTAAAATGGTTTTCTTTCACTTTAGGAGATATAGGCCATTTGACAAATTTTGAATGAGCAGAAGTCATTATGGTTTTATGATTTATATTGGGAGGTTTCTTGAATGAATCTTTGTTGTAATCATAGTAAATCGTTTGTCGCATGCATTCATTGATAATCTTGTTATTATGGGCGGTGGAAAAACGGTAAATGTGTGAGAATAATATAATAACAATAATAAAAAGAAGAAGAAAATAGTCACCAACTGATTTTCCGTCCACTAAAGAATTATATTGTGATTTTTTTTATATCTACCTAATTATTCATTGTAAATCTTCACATAATTTTATTTTTTATACAATATTTTATTTTATTTTATTTTTTTTTAACACTGGCCTTCTAATGAAGTAACAAAGTAGAAGCTTGCAGAAAATCCACACGAAAATCTGAATCATGTCAAGCTGTGTCAGTTCCATATTCCATCCATTTCTTCCACTTTTCCAAGTTAGGGTCACACGAATAGAAGTATCAGGTCCACAATGGAAAACTAGACCTCCCTCTCCTCATCAACATGCTCCAGTACTTCTGGGAGTATCCCAAGGTTTTCCCAGGCCAAAGAAGATAGAGTCATGAAAAAAATGAGAATATTCTATAAAAGTTTGTGTTTTTTTAAATATATTTTGACATATGACCGGTGTCAGAGCCTGGTCCGCATCGCCGGCAGTAAGTCGGGCTTGTTCCCGGTGAGAGTTGGACTCCGCCAAGGTTGCCCTTTGTCACCGATTCTGTTCATAACTTTTATGGACCATAACAAAGCCTATTTTTATTCTGCAAAAAAGAGCTGTAAAATTATAACAAAAAAGTGTTATTGTCACCCTTCTAATGTTCTGTTTTGTCAATAGAAACTACGTAAGTTTTATGATTTGGTGGATTATAATATTCTTTTATTTACGTTTAAAGCTCAGAATTGCATGCTACCATCAAACATTCAAACATATTTTGTAAAAAGGAAGAGTTGTTATAATTTGAAGGGCATAGATATTTTTGTTAAACCCAAGTATAGAACCAGTTTAAAGGGTCGGTCTACTACTATACAGGGAATGAGTCTGTGGAATGGTCTGGAAGATGATGCTAAAATGGTGAAGTCAATGTTTATATTTAAGAAAAAGATAAAAACTGTTTTGTTGGAACAATATATATAACTGATTAATGTCTATTTTGTTAAGTTTGAAATTTTGATGAGTTATGTATTTTGCTGTATAATATATGAATGTTTATGTTTAAATTGGTGGTTTGAATTGATTTTGTTTATGAGGGAGCAGATATGATAAGAAATTTTCTTCTTCTGCTTCCTTTCATTTCATATTTGTTTTTTTTTTATTTTTTGAATCACTTTGTGCACTTTGTGCATCACATGCACAAAGCATCATTACTTGCAAAGATTGATATTGATAATGTAATAAAAACTCCATAAACGGGAAAAATTTCAGAGGATTTTTGGTCAAAGGTTATGAATGTTTTTATTTTGTTTTATTATCGTGGCTGAGAACATTTTTCCCCTCTGTCCTGAGAACAAGCAGCTCGATTGTCTCCCAAAACAGACAAACTGTCTCCCAAAAGAATCTTATCTCGCACCGAAGGCCTACTTGCGATGTTGTTTTGAATCCCGTGAACCGTATTTGTGCAGACAAAGAATGTTGTGTTGCTTCAAAGATGCTCACTGAACTCCACTGAACGCTGAGCTGCTAATGTTATAAAAGTCAGCAGATGACACCGTTCACTGCTCATTCTGTGACAAGTCTTCATGCAAATGCATTTATTTATGTTTATGTAACCTGTCCTGAGTGCAGTCCTTGCAAGTAAAATGCCAATTAAAAATCTTCACTTGCAGTGAGAGTGGCTCTTTTGAGTAAACAAAGTTATAGTGAATGAGAGAATTTCTCTGACATAGTCATCAATGAAAACATAAATGGAGATTTAGTAGAATATAATCATGCAAACCCTGTAGATTATCCAACTATTGTAAAGAACATAAATGATAAAACAATCTCTGAAGAATCTCGGGACACAGTGTATGGAGAATGGAATGTGACAAAATACATAATCAATCAATCAATCAATACATAATAATGTATAATTTAATTCTTAAATACATCATTAAATAATGAAATGTACTTTTTAAATTCTTTATTTCATGATTTATTCATTTAATTACACCCTGAGTGAAACTGACAACATAATTTCATGACACTGGAAGGTGAAATGTGGCAAAATGAAATAAATAAATACATCATGTAATAAAGAAATTAAAAGGTATATTTCATTATTTAATTGTGTATTTAAAAATTTATTTTTATATTTAACAATTTAATTATGTATTTAATAACTAAATGATACTTTGTACATTTAATTATGTATACTTATTTATTACTTGCTTATTTAATTAATTTTGTCACATTCCATCCTCCATACAAAAGGATAAATGATTAGATAAATGTAGTCATTCCATAGAGTTAAATAAGACAACCAGAGGGACACTCCCGCTCCCATCCACTGCTCGCATCTGTGACATCGTGGAGGAGCAAAGATGGAGTCCAGAGAGGGCAACAGCTCACAGCGGACGAAGCAGCTATTTGATTAACAGCAAGTCCAACTGGATCTGTCGCACATTATTTGTAATCTTTTTATATGAAATTAATATAATTAATAACGTTAATTTCAGTCAACAATCATGTAAATCAACTAGATGATATATAAAGTAAAAATGTTAGTAATGTTCTAAACCCAGTCAATACCACTCGACTCAGAAATGACATATAAAGGGTATTGCATAACAGTATTGGAATAATTTATATGTATTATTTACCTGCTATGTAGTCGACACAGAAACTGTTCACTGCAAGCCTTGTGATACTTTAAAGAATGAAACTTGTCTCTACTGATATTATCTAATATCTACTATTCAATTATTAATAGTGATTACATCGGCTTTATAGGCTAATTTCAATTTGTTACATTATTAGTGTCAATTATAGTTGGATCACATTCACAATGATGTAAATAAAATAAAATCTGCTTGTGAAATGAGACGTTTTCATTTTTCTCTTGGGTTGGTACAACCATAGCACACAGCGTTGTGGCATTTTTACACATTTTATTATATTATCGTTAATTTTTACAATTTTTACATAATCAGACCATACTGTTTGCCATTTTGCCTATATCTATAACAATACTAAGTCCAGTACAAAAAAAATGTTAAAGCTTCCACATCAGGTACACATCTCTCTGAAATAACTGCTATATACTATAAATAAAATACTATATATAACTGCTATATATACTGCATTACAGTCACCCATCAAGCACATTATTTTATCAACTGAAGTTATTGAAGTTCCATGATTTGGTAGATTACAGTATTTTATCAGTTATGTATAGGGCTCAAAATAACACATTACCATTAAATATCCAAAGAAATTTTGTTAAAAGACAAAGTTGTTACAATCTTAAGGGGATAGAGATATTTGTCAAACCAAAATTCAGAACTAGTCTGAAGGGAAGGTCTACCTCAATCCAAGGAGTTGGATTGTGGAATGGTCTAGAGAGTGATGTGAAAAATGCCAAGTCAATGTGTACATTTAAGAAAAAGATCAAAACTGAATTGTTAAAAAAATATATATGAAGTAGCTTAGTGTGTGTTTTGTATTAGAATTAGAAAAATTAGAAAGAGTTATTCATTTTGTTCTGTTACTTGAAGATTATTATGTCTGAAATAATTGTTTGAAAAAAAGGGGCAGATATAATAAGATTTTTTCTTCTTTCTGCTGCCTTTCATTTTAAATCTCTTGTATCCTTTTTTATATTGTTATGGAATTGTTTTGTACTTTTTTTTAATGAATAAACTATACACCATATATATGTACGTATGGATAAAGCACCTGTGTTTTGGGGGCAGTGGCATTCACGTGGCATACGCACCATAAAGATGGACAATTAATATCCTATGAGGACTCGACTCGTATTTGAATTGTAAAACAGAGCAAACCTTTGGAAATATTTACAGATGAGACACTATGTGACCTCCAAAATCAAAGACATTGTAGAAAATAAGATTTTAGATTTTATTAGGATGTCATGTGATCACCACACGACTTCTCAGTTCTATAAATTGTTAAATTATAGTCTGAGTGGTGAATCATTAAATATCAAACTTATTTGTACAAAGAGATTTGAGAATAGAGAACACAAATGAAAAATGGCTGGAGGTCCTATCAGAGAGTGGTAAATACTGTATGTGAATTCAAAAAGCGTTCAATACAAAAACAGCTGGACTTTATTT